ATCCGGCAGCAAGGCTTCTGACTGATCGAGACATTGGAGATTTCGATTAGCGTGGAGTCATCTATTAATTTTTCGGCTTCTCAGCACCATCTTGGCATGCGTCGGTTGCATATGTTAAAATTCCAGCTATGGGCAAATTATGAAATCCCCCACAAAACAAAGAAACAAAAAAAACTATCAAAGTATAATATAATTTTATAGTACAAATAGCAGTAATATATATTTTTTTTATATAAAACATATTACCAACAATATATGTTTATAGCAAAATTACTAGCTATACATATTTATAGCAAAATTACCAAAAAATTGTGTTTAAAGCAATGTCTTTTATAGTAAAATTACCAACAATACATTTTAGAGGAAAATGACCAATAATACATTTATCTGTAGTTGAAGGCATAAAATTGAGTTCAAAATATATTTAGCTGAAACCATACAAATGTTTTAAAAACATTTAGATTTCAGCATTAAATGACGCATATATGTTGATACGTCGCTAAACAAAATCAATCAACCAACCGACATCGCTGTTCACATTTTTTCACGATTTCGTCAAAATAATAATTTATATGTCCAATACCCTGTAATTTTCTTTCCGAATTGAGTCATTATGTATAATTCTTTAGCTTATAGAATATTATAGCTAGTGTACAGAATCTGCGATGGAATTAATTTGTTCTAGATGTGTGGTGAGTAAAACTGTTACCAGTCCAGAGATTGGAACCGACGGTTGGAGCCCAAATTCTGAATAGGTCTGTTTAAATTCTAATTACCTCAGTGAAGAGAGGAATCAGTCTTCCTGTAATTATGCGCTAAAAAATCAGGGCAGAAGTGGTATGGCGATATTCACTGAAGGTGAACATTATCCCTCGGGAATAATAAGACAGTTTCCAATCCTTAGACTTGTTAGAAAAAATATATCATAAAAAACGATTGTATCAGTGAGGTGGCGTTACCTTAAATTGAACCACTGCTGCTATAGCCGCAGTATATATATGGTTAACCTATTTACCCTATCAACGTTGTAGTAGCACTGCAGTAAGAATAAGTATGTGTAAACATTTTAGTACAATAAAAAATACTAACAAACGTGTATTTAACAGAGAATACTGATTTTAGTAATCTGTAATATTCGATATTTTCTATAATAGAGAATGTTATTCTCCCTATACTGACAAGAATGGAAATTCTGTTGAAAAATATTATATTATATATATATATATATATATATATATATATATATATATATATATATATATATATATATATATATATATATATAGAAATAGAATTGATAATACACACACACACATATATATATATATATATATATATATGTTGATTCAAGCGTGTGTGGTTAAATAATTCAGGCGCATTATGTCTCTTTATTTTAATTTTAATCCTTTGAAGTCTTGGGATTAATGTTTTGGTAGATGTAGAAAATTGATCAAAATATATCGCTGAGCAACAACTTTTTTAAATATATTCCTTAAATATTCAATATTTTAAATGTTCAATATAAATATTTCCATAAATATGCAAGGCATATTTAATAAAGTTTTTTATTTATTATTTTTTTCAATATTGTCCATTGTCCCAGGAACTTTTCGCCAGTTCCTAGCCATTTTCATGGGGGTATTTTAAGTGTCAATTTCTTTTTTATGTTCTGTTTTTATTTTTGTGCCATTTTGAATATTAGAAAGATATTTATTCCCAGACTATATGGTAAAGAAGAATATTAGGATGAAATCAACGATCCCCGACAGACTATAAAATGAGAAATATAAACATTACTAGGACATTGTACAATAGCAGCACATTATTTATTTGATTTACACAATTTCTGTGAAATATTACCCGAAAATTAATTGTGAATGAAAGAGAAAAGGTAAATGAGTAATAATGGTTTATTATTTGCTGAAGATATTTGATTTTATTAATATCAGACCAATCAATTGATATCCAATCAATAGGGAAAGTTGCGAAAAAGAAAATTTTAGTATTTTTTCTAAGCATTTCACACCAGTCAAGGCGGGATTGTCCCTAGTACGCAAGGGATTTCATAGAGTGAAATTAAGAGAAACGACTGGGTATATGGGTGGGGGGGGATTGGGGAAAGGATAAAAAGAAGGACGGGATTCAAGTCATCAGGTGATATTGATTGACATTACATTTAAATTTTTGAAGATTATATTCATCAAGGAATCAAGTAAGAATAGGGAATATCACTATCGGGAAGTGCGTGGGAAGGTTTTGAAGAAAAAAAAAAGGCTGTTACATTTAACTGTTTCAGCAGTAAAAGAGTGGGACCGAGATGGTAAACTAGTCTCACGCTTACGTTCATTCAGTCTGGACACCGGTAAAAATATGACGTCAGAGCAGATGCCATGAAAATATTTGTAGAAAAGAGAGAGGGAAGCCACACCACGTCTGTGACAAATTAATGGTATCGAGATGCCAAATCAGGAACGATCACATTGCATATTTGTCTTTGGAT